AATGGCCCTGAAATTGCATGTCGCTCATGAAACAATACATAAACATCTAAGCAATATGGGAAATTCCATAAAGAAGGTGTTTGGGTGCCTCACGGACTCTCCTATGATCATCCTTTCCAACGTGTGAACGTTGCTTCGTCTTTTCTGGTGCGTAATTGTCACTGGTGATGAAAAAATGGATTCTATATGCGAATATTAAACGCCAAAAACAATGGCTCAGTCCCAGGCAAAAACCACTTCCAATCCAAAAACCTGGACTCCATCCGCAGAAAGTGATGCTTTACATTTGGTGGGACATCAAAGAGTAATTCATTTTGAACTCCTCAATCCACAGCTAACTGTCAATCCAGAGATCTGTAGTCAGCAACTAGAACGTTTAAATCAAAATCTTCATCAGAAACGCTTTTCACTCGTCAATCGGAAAGGTGTTCTTCTCCACGACAGTGCAATTCCACATGGGGCACGTTTGACGCAACAAAAGATTATGCAGTTGGGTTGTGAAATTTTCCCCAACCCATCATATTCTCCAGATATGGCACCATTAGGTTACCATCTTTTTCGTTCGCTTAAACACCATCTTAATGGGAAAACGTATGCAAATGTCGAAGGTGTTAGAGAGGACATCGACATGTTTTTTTTTTTTTTGCTTCAAAGCCAAGTGATTTCTTTAATCAGGGCATTAACAACCTGACTGTAAGATAGAAAAGTCTCTTCGATTAGAATGGAGACTATTTCATTTAATATATGTTTTGTTTTGATATATTTGTTCGGGTTCTTTCATCTAAAAAAAAGCGACATTAATTTCTTGACGAACTAATATAAATCTTTATTAAACAAATAAACAAACTACAAGCAATAGCTCATATAACCTAACAGACGACAGACAGTCCTCCTTTACCTAGATGGTGTATATTTTTGTTGCATTTTTCTCTCAAAATTGGAAGACCCAAAATCAAAGAAGAAAATCTGCACACAGATATATTCTCCCAGTAGGTCAACTAGTAGATAACTTAATGAAGAAAATGCATCTGGATTCAGAATGTTAACTCACTTTCTTACATCACCTCATGACCTATATTCCTTGATAATATAATTTGGTTGTCAATTTCAGTCACTATCACAATCGGCCAGCAAGGGCTATCCTAACTTTAGCTCATTCAACAGGTTCCATATAAAACACTAAAATATCCATGTGGGTAGAGAAGACATCACCTAATAAAAGAACAAAGGATGAAGCAACTAGAACAATATAATCTTCGCAGTTCTGGTACACATGTTGCTGCAATGACAGTGTAGAAACTAAATAATCAGTAATTTAGAAACATTATATACTGCTATAGAAGATGAGAAACCCATTATACTAAGAGAACAATAGGTGAAGCACTTAGAACAAGGTAATATTGGCAGCTCTGGACCATGTGTTGTTACATGACTGTGCAGAAACTAAATGCTGAAAAATGATGCTGTGTTATTATAGAAAGTAGGAACCCTTTGTGGGCCTGCATATTGCAATATATATTAGTATAAGTCTTTATATTACTACTCGAGATGGCCACATACCTCCCCATGGAAAGTCTGAACATCGGTCACAATGATATGAGTTCTATAGTCATTCTTAAAGCAGCTTTTCCAAAAAAGAGAAGACCTTTGAACGTGTGGTATACACGAACGCTTTAACTATACACGGAAAATTGCATGAGTGAATATATTTAGAGGAAATTTCATTAATATATCTGGAAGAAAAAATATACAAATTCTGACTAACTATGGCAGGTGGAATTCATAGTTAATTCAGCGATCACAACCTTCCTATGGGCGTCATTGTCCCAGACTTCAAAACTAAAAATTAAGTGCCGAATTAGTAGATTATGTTTAGGACAAAATATACTGTACTCGTTTCCATAGGGCTAAAGATAAATACTGACTAACAATGTAAGGGTGGTATTAAAAATTGTTCCAACTGTCTCAGTCGAGTTGATAGGATAAAGGCTTCTGATTTTTATGCTTTATATACTGATAACAATATAACAAGAGGACACAACTTGAAGATTTGAAAAAGACAGGCTAGGTTCTTGTTAAGACAGTTTTATTTGTCTAAAAAGGTGATTGTCTTATTAAATTAAATGCTATCAGCTGTAATAGAAACAAGCACTTTAAAGTATTTGAAAGGGAATTGATAATTTTCTAGAGAATACATTAAAAGTTGCATGGGTTTAAGTCTTACTTTTATTCTTAACATTTGACATGTATGAACAGCCCTGAAGCAATAAATTGTCTCTTGTTGTTTATCTGTTATTTTATATATACACAAATTTTCAATTTTTCAGAAGTTCTGATTTAGAACATTCAATTAAGAATAGGTGTCAGTTTTTGTACAAGGTCCAATCTTGGAAAATTATGTACTGTTTTACGGGATAGTTGTCATGCTCTACTTTACATTTTATATAGACGACAGAGCTCTACAATTGCCACATGGAGCAGAGATATTTTCATATTGTTTTCTTATTTGTCAGCTACTGGAGAAAAAGTGAATTGTGAAAGTATTGTATTTTGTGTGTTCTCCAGAGAGTCAAGACTCACCATGAAATCACATCTCTGTTTTCATTGTTACTTCCAGTATCTGCTGAACGTGCATGTTTCAACTTCTTTTCAATAAAATACAACTATATTTTACTTACTTTCTTATTTTGTATTTTTCTGTATATTATAATTACAAATCATAGTGAAATAGTACTGACATCAACTGATCAACCTTCTATATTGAATTCTTCTTTGTAAAGATAATGTTTTAGCTTTTATTTCAACGTCACATTGAGTTTGTTTCTTTTAATCCACCCGCTGCTTTTATTCTTCATCATACTAAATTCTCAAATTTCTAGTTGTTGCAAAAATCAAGTAACTATGTGCCAGATATATCAATCAATTGACAATTACCAAACATATCACACCTAATTATGCAATGATCACTCTTTTAAAAGCTATGGTTTAAATGTCAATTCCTAGCAAAGCAAGATAAACTAATAGGGTTAAAATTCATTATAAGAATCATGTTAGTCGCAGATGTTTCTTTATTTTCCCCATTCCTCTGATTTTGAATCTATAATTGACAAATTAAGTGGAATGTGGGGGAGAACATTTATACTTAACGTGATCTTGTTTACAAATTTTACCTATTAGTTTCTAGTGATCACTCTTCGCTAAATGCTCCTCATGTGATATCTAGACATATTGTTGCGCCAGCGAGGTCACGTGACTAGTATCACGCCACTCCTTCTCTCCAGCCTTCGTGAATTATCAGGAGATTACTAGATTGGGGGTAGTCTGGTATATATAAGATGGTCACAATGTGACGGGAACAGTGTAGTAGTGAGTAATTGAACTAAGTATTGTCGAGCATGAGCACGTGACACGTTCTAGCGTTTGTTATAGAGCGACTGTTGAAAATAAGTGTATCAGTAAAATTATATTCAGAAAGAATAAACGTTTTATTAAGAAAGGACTTGTGTCGCTAAAGTTTCGTGGGAACGAAGTTACGGAAAATCAACTAACGAATGGAGACGTAACAAATTTGTGTCAGGAGTGGGATAAAAAAAAATGGAAACGAGAAGCGGCAAATCAAACTACAGCCTAGCAGGCTTGATGGCAGCAATACAAG